GCAGCATCTGGGCATACGAGGTGAGAGGACAGTGTTACAATTGTGTCTGGATGCATCTATCTGAGAATACAGCTCAATTGCAGGCTCTTGTGAACACTCCCGTTCCATGAGAGACTGCTCTCCTGCAAAACAGGTCGCTTAGCTCTGCTCAACAGTAAACTTCTTCCTGTATCGAAGTACCACGTCATGAAGAAATACTCGTCACGCTGGACTTCGACTGTAGACACACGTAAGTGGTCAGCTATAAGTTCCGGCAACTTTATCCCTGTCACTAAATGGACAGCAAACTGGAAGAATTCCAGAGCCATTGTAGAAGAGGGGGAAAAGACAAACGCCCGTGTTATGGCCTGGAACTAAACCCCGGTCATCCATATCTTCGGCAGTTACTATATTCTTTCTTCTATTCCTGCTTAAGCATGACTCTTCTGATTAAAATGTATTGCCTCTGTCAGCGATAGAATGCACGAATATCTGTACCATTATTTCTCTATACCAACAACACGGAACAAATTAACATATCGATAATTCTCTGTACTTTAATTATTATAAGGTACAGATTCGAAACTCTATAGAGTCACTGTCGCTTCGGACTTAGCTTATTCGTGGTTTTCCAAACAAACGCCACAATGATACCTTGAAATATGTTACGATCGCCTCCTTTTTGATATTTGCTCTTCACAGTTAACGATGATTTTATGTCGTTTGACGCTATATAATTTATGAAATTCAAAAGCCGTCATTAAACAGTCTGATGATCGATCGCTCGCCAACGGGTTAGTGTAGGAAGTAAACAAACAAGTCCAATGAGGGATAAAAATCTCAAAGAAATTCTGTTCTCCGTACTTTCATCTTTACGTCATATCAATAGTGGTTGCCTACTGTTTTTTCTCAGTACTCTCCACACACATGAATTTCAGTTCTGTCTGCTGGATCTGTAGAGTATATTTTGAAATAATGTTTCCAGGAAGGTTTGACTATGTATTTCCTGTAAATCGTCTGAAACAAGAACCTGTACCACTGTTGCACAAACGAGTGTCTCGCCCATTTCGTCACTCTATGTTTTCGAAATCAGCTGCCTCCCAACACTGTCTCTGGTTCGAGGTCTATCATTAACCGTTATCTCAAACCCCAGAGAAATCACGACCAAAACTAGGAAGCAAACATAAAATGGTGATTATACAACACATGTGCTCATGGGAAATTGTCAAAAAATCTACAGAAAGTATTGCTATTTTTCATAACTCACTGACCTGTGTGTTCATTTATTGCAGATACAAAGTTACTGTTGCATTAGTAACCGCGCTACAGATACGCAACTGAACACAGAAAAAAATTAGCCTACTTTCCCTTGAATTAAGTTAAATAACCACCGTACCGAAAAATGTTTCAAAACGATAATAGGGTTTATAAAGCCGTAAGTACGTTGAACGATGAGCCGTGTTAGACGCGTCTCTAACTCTGTGAAGCGCCTAATACAACATCTCTCCGTCTGCCCGTTCTTACGCATGAAATAATTCGATAACAGATCAGTGATTTTGATTACATTTTATCCTGGATAATTTTACGAAGAAATGTCGACCCATTTTAATTTTCATTTGTTTGGACAATTCTACGGGCTAATTTACTCAAGAGTATAAAAGCCATTCTATATGTAAATAGAATCTTCATTTGCTTCTGCAAAACAATGCAATAAAAAACAAAAGAAAGTTTTAATTCATTTAGTCTACCTTCAAATAAGATTTATTTTATTCCGTTAAATTAATGCTCTAATATATGATACGACTTCGAAGCATATATTAAAAGTTATGTATATTTAATTTTATTATATTTTGTGCAATAACACTCAACGCCGAAGCGTTAGTAGGTCTATTCATTACTTATTCCTCATTGTTTATTCATGCACAATACAGCTTTGACTTCTTGCTGCAACTGCAGTTCTGTTGTAATCTTAAAAGCGTTGATGTCACCGTGTCATTTACAATTCCCTCTTCCAAATGCGCCTGTAAAATGTGCACTGTGCAGCCTGCTTTTAAAACTTTGAGCCTAATGTAAAATTGTGGTTGTAATTGAACCGTATGAATCACAATTAAAAGTCGGGAAACATTACAGCACCAAATTTCGTCGAAATAAAATTAGTTTTGGAGATTAATCATGCAGACAGACAATATATTCTCACTGCGCGTGTATTTTATGTACATTTCATGGACTTCATATAAATTCCACTATTTACTTCACGGTACAAGCGCTTCCTTGATCATTTTGTAGCCAAAAATTTCTTTGCAGCTGGCCAATGACCCTGTTCCATTTTATAAATGTACACCTGCCTGAAAACTGGCCTTGCGTTTATAGCTACATGTCAAATGCCCTTTCCACGCGACTTTTCAAGTAAAATACAAAATCTCCTCCCCCCCTTCCATGCCTTCTACGTGTTCTGCCAGTCTCAATTTCACTTTGTTTATGAGTAAACTTCATACATCGTGACGTTTTCTTCTTTCCAGTAACTTCGTATCTTTAGATCCAAATTTTAGCCTATCCTCCGTACTTTGCTGTGAAACATGCCTATTTTCTTCGCTCAGAGCGATAGACCATGTTTCGCAACCACAGCCTTCGTCTTGCACTTCTCATTTATTTTAGTGGCTGCTCGTCCCGATTTCAGGTCATTTTGATAGAAACTATTACAGAGCGCTTTTGCTACCATGACATGAAATGCTGAGAATATGTGGGCCTAATAAAGAGGATGTAGAATGATGCATGAGAAATTTCATAATTTGTATCTTTCACTATTTTACCGACGTTAAATCAATAACGATGAGATGGGTGGGACATTTAGCACGCACACACAAAATATAAGAAATGCATACATTTTCGTAGAAGAATCTAATGGTAAGAGACTTCGGTATAGATGACACGATGTTACTAAACCCTTTGAAGCCGACGTTCGTCTAAATAACAATTAAGAATTCAGACCATACCTCAAAGAAAACACCGCACTTCCCATCTTAAAGATCAATTGTTAATTCTGTCGGAGAAAATAATTCCTGTTTACAATGAGAATCAAACGAAACCCTATACACAAAATGAAATGTTGTCAACAGTTGAAGCAGGTGAGACATGTTGGTACCACTGGTTACAGGACTGAGCGGGTGTGGACTGGATTTATCCGGCTCAAGACTGGGATGCAATGGCGGGCTTTTGTGAACATGATACTGAACATCCGGGCTCTATAAAAGCTGGGAATTTCTTGACGAGATGAGTAACTATCAACTTTCAAGAAAGACTCTGCACCATGGAGTTATACGCCTGTAATACCGTCTGGAAACATGACCTACGTGTGAACGCTTGCAGCCAACATGTCAGCTTTAAGCCCACCTGCTGATCGGATTATCGTGAGTTTTTATATATAAAAAAAGGTCTTCTACCTGAACACAATGGCGGATGGATTCCAATTTTCATCATCCCACTATACAAGCCAGAAAATTACACTTCTTACCTTGCCCCGATCCTCCCCTGGTTTTTCCCATCTCAACCCCATCCCTCCCTCTCCCAAACCCCATTTCTTCAGTATCGCAGGTTCAAAGTCATCTAGCCCAGTTTATCTTGGCTCGAGCTTGTTCAAAAGTTATTCGGATTCGGAGACTGGCTACGGGCTGGACCACCAGGATAGGATTTCCGGTGTGGACGAGATCTCTTCTCTATTCACCAGCATTGTGTCCAGTCAGACCAGTTTTGTGGCTCCACTCATTCTCCTAGCAGATGGTTACAATAGGCTTATTCCCGGAGTAACAGAGCATACAAATGAAATCACCAACTTGTAGTGTTAACGTAAATGTGAGCAGTTTAACCATCATACTTAATGGAGTGGAACTTGGGCACAGAGGAAAATTTTAAGTTTACCGACATCCAATTTCACCGAAATCTTCGTGTTTAACAATTGTATTATTGTGAATTGTATATCTTAAGAAAATATATAGAAATTACTACGGGTTAAAATGACTTTTACTTTATTTATTCTGTTATATTTACGTATAGAGCTCGACTTGTATCCTTATGGTGGTCAAATAATCGAGGTTAAGATGGGCTGCTTATCTAGTTCTGATAGGGAAAACGAGATCTGTATTCCGAGTTCTGATGAGGAAACCTCTTTAAAAACAACCACATCGGTTCAGTGACTAATTGACTGATAGCCTGATGTCGGTATACTGGGGTGCCACGAGGTCATATGACTGTTCATCAACGTTTCAGAGGAGCACTGCTCTATCTTTTGCACCTGACCCAGCTTTACTACCTGCTGACTCGGAAAATAATGTTTTCCACTTGGTTCATACACAGTTCTATCTATCCTCCTCACCCCACGGTCCTGATTGGCCAATACCCCTGCTATTATCGTTTCCTAGCTCCACTTTTCTGAACCCTCTTCACTTCAGTCGTGAAGATGGATGCAAAATGTTTCTCCGAAACGATGGTATATAACCAAGAGACCGTACGGGAAAACAACCCCTAAGACCACCATCAACCACTTTCTTTTTATTTCTCTAATTTTAATTTTTACACATATGATAAACCACAGCAGTACATTTTAAACAAAATCCTTTAAAATTCCCATTCAGAAAGTTTCCGATTGGAGACCTAGAAGAAATTACCACTGATGTTCTATACACGACAGTACACACAAAGATTTTTAAAAGTATAATTCATGAAACCCAAATTTAAATACAAATATTACACACGTATAAGTTGGGAGGATAATGTCAGGCGGGATCTATGGGAGATAGGAGTCGAAGGAGACTGGATTTTGTTTTTTGTTGGGCTTTAGTTAATTCGGTGATGAACCTTCAGGTTCGGTAAGCCATCTAGTTAGTTACATTCTAATATAACTCTTTATGACATGGTACGTAAATTTATCACACTGTAATGAGGCATGGCACTTTGGAATATGATACATTTTTATAACTAAAATTATATATACAGGTATTGGCATGTGTAAGTTTTCTAGTACTTACCAAACAGAAGCAGTAATGCAGCATACAGGCATGACACAGCACATTTCTTCATAGTTCCACGAGACATCACTGAAAGTCTTTATCACTATTGCCACCCAAGTCTTCACCAGTATCACGTTCTGCTGTCACCAAAAGTAATAAACTAGGATACCAGTTTTACGATCTTACGTGCGTCTTTCAACGAGCAGGCTGCCAGTGTACTAACGCGTCAGACTTGCATCGAAATGTACCAGGTTCGAACCAAATTCAGTTCTAACACTCGGACATTATTCTGACCTATTCACATCCTCTCATATCGTCTCCTGTTCATCATTCAACGCTACCTAACCTCAGAAGTTTATAGTCTGCAACGAACTACAAGCACGTATTCTTCCATGTCAGTTTGCCCACCTTTCACATTTTCTTCTTTGGTCTATTGTGATTTATCACTCGTACTGACGTTGTCGAACCCAAAAATGACGAAATCGATGCAATTTATTTGTCACTTTTGAAAATAAACGAACCGAGCAGCACAAAATTAATATTATTCTTTCTGGTAGCATTACGGATTTTTCAGTACCAACGTTCACTGGCTCCAAGAGTGCGTTTTAACGTCCACAGGTAGGAACATGTCGATAATCTCTGGAAGTTTCGATAATTCTTAGGAATATTAACAGCAAATTCATTCCGTTCCTCACCTAATCCCTTATGATGTATCCTAATAATAGGACTCAATGTACCTGCACCAGAAGTCCAGAATCAAACCACTTTCCAAGATTCTGTTATATTAGTCCTTTAATCAGATTTTGAGAACCACTACACATTGTAAATGTCAACGTGTTAAACCATAATTTTCTTGAATCCAGTAAGGCCATTTGATATTCCACCCTCAATTAGAGACTATATACCTTGATGGGAAACAACAAACTTCTATAGTAGTGGGCACAACAATCAGATATAAAGAATGACTCCTACAAAATAAGTTGCTGCAAGACAGAACTTTAAAGCATATCATACATAAAGTTGCCACTGTGCTTTTAAGGGATTCAAATTCTGAATATGGTAAAGTGGAACAAGCAGTATCAATTAACTGCATATTTGCATAAACTCTGCGATGGGTATAAGAATGGAACCCACAATTTTGAATGGAGTGACAACAGAATGCTTGTTTTACTCTTAATTATCATATATAATTACTATTATAAAAAATTGGAGTCTGATCTAAAAAGAACATTTATCATTTTGCTGCAATTTCAAAAGTGATACAAAAATTTCTGTAGATGACCACAGATAATTATGATGAACTATCTACTTTACAGTTTAACACTAATACTTCCGAATCCAAAGACAAACATCCATGCCTCGACTGGGAATCAAACCCACGGTCCCAGCGGCCAGGCGCACAAGGTCCATGCCTCAGATCTCGTGGCCACTGCGGCCGGTTCTACAAAATGTTCCATTAATAAAATAACTTAAAGTCAGAATTCTTTGTAAAAACTCACCAGCCAGCCATCATTTAACAACAGTCCACAAGTACAACTACACGCTCCTGGCCTAAAGGGACTGCAGGAAACAATGTAAACTACTTCCACACAGTCTCATAAATTTAAAAACTGGAAGTACAAGACCAAAAGTGGTTTTACACTGAACCAAACCAACTGATTTATGTTCACATCTGTCAACTTCTTTAGTCTGAGACCGGCCAATGCTTTCCTGTTACCTTGCAAAAAGAAAATGCAGATGCTACTCCTGGAAAATAAAAATGCTATTACTGTATTTGTCATCACATCCTACTACAAGGAGTAGGTCTGGAACCTATCTCAGCTTGCAAATACTTTTCCCTTCTATGTTTAAAACAGTCTAGTAATAATTCTATAATTTCCCTTTCTTTGTCCATATTTCAATCACTCTTCCTCTGTGGTCAACATATTAATGCCACATCCTAGGAAATAAACATAATTGACTTTCTCCTACATTTGATGCCAAAGCTCATCTAAATATTTAAACATATAGTCTGTATCTGAAAGAAAACATAAAATTAAACCTGTAACAAAGAATCAGAAATTACAAAAAACAGAAATACGCACAATTTTTGTTCAGTTAACTTCACTTTTAATTAGTAACACAAGAATTCACACACAAAAAAAAATTAGCATAAAACATGTACATGACCTTGAGGCAGAGTTCATTTAAGTTCCTGTACATATGTTGATATATACCTTCATTCTTTATTTTAAACACGTATAAGACAATTGCAACAATACATTTTACACTGCATCACAATTCTTGCTACCCTTAACCAAACCAGGAGGGGTGAGCCAAGCTGGATTTGGGTCCCGATGAAGAGACGTACAAACAACTTTGTCATTCAGTGGCCATATCTGCAAAATAAGCAAATTACTATCAAATTCAACTTACAACAATGTCACTCTTTAATGTTTTAACTAATAAAAGTTAAGTAAAGTTGTACCTGGTACAAACTATGCAGGCACTTGGAGCAAAGGAGGTACTGGTACTTGAACATGACTTACACATCAGATGGGCGTGAGTGTTCAGTGTCGTGCCCCAAATGTGCTTTACCCCCAGAAAAAGACCCCAGTACCTATCAGAAAGGAAGCTTCATGGGCCCCCCAGAGCTAATGCAGATGCAGAGGCTAGAAGAAACATCCTTTTCCCCTGTCAGGGATCAAACCTGAAAACAGTCCTAAGCTACCCCAGCTCCATGTCTTAGTATAAGGTAAAGGTAAAGTTTCTTTGTTATTAATATATAGATGTCTGCAGGTAGACTTTAATTTCAGAACTGTGTGACAAATTCAAAAGCATCAAACTTTACCCCCAAAGGAAGAACCCTTGTACTCACTGAATGGTAGGTTTTGTAGTTCCCTTAACCATTCTGAACACAGTAGTGAACAGAACAAGTTCTGGAACCTTACAAAAACTTTTAATGCCTCTTTTCCTTCAAATAATAAGACCAGCAAGAACTACAATTAAAATCTATCCAGTTCAGAGATCTATTTCTGTGTGACAAGCATAAATTTTGTTAATTTTACCCAATATTATCTCACAGTTACAACATTAGCATCAATATAATTCTTAATATCTCAGAAAAGGCACCAAATAAGTTAGTTGTACATATGTTTCAGGTCTCCATGTAATTTTTGCATATACAGAAATCCAATATTTCATTTAGTTACCATCATCAAATAGAAAGTTACTCAATTTAAGATGGATGTTTGTCAAAGATCACACAACAGTTCAGGACCTTATATCAAGTGGTGCTAGCGTAGCTCCCAACTCGCACATTTGCATGGCTGCCATTGCGGTAATGCACTGACTCCAGCATTCATAAAAATCAGTTACTTCATTTAAAAATGATTAGATAATAAGTCAGGAAAAGGGTACTACACGCCATCTTCGTTATAAAATAAATACAGTACGAAAATACCAAAACTTTCCTACCAGCATATGAAACCTGGCTGTCTACGTGACGCCCATTCACTTTACTGAGCTCTCATCACTCACACCATCCACCATGTCCATTTACTGTATGTTCCCACTTTTCATTTCGGAGCACAAGGAGAATGTAAAAAACTAAATCTCAATCCTTCATCTCCATTATAATATCCATGTGCTTACTAAACAAAGTGCTTATATGTCAGAATCTTCAATTCCTGTGCATCAGACTCTTAAGCATGCTCTAGTTATATATAAAAGAAAGTTTCTTTATCAAGGTTTACCAGCTTTGCAACATAAATGGCTACACTTACAATTTGAGCAGATACTTCAAAAAGAGCGGCAAAATATGACACAGACACATGCAGAATTAAAAGTCTCACTAAGTGAGCGGAAGGCGTCGGCCATTACCTTCAGAATGACAATTTTTTCTACTCTCCAGATTTATTTGATGGCCGGGACACAAAACATAATCAACTACTGTGAAACAGCAACTAGAATCAAATAGGAATGCCATGGGACTCTGACAACAAGACACTAAAATTGAAGTAAAGTGACATACGTGCTAAGATGAGCGAGGTCTTTGAAAGCAAAGATTTGAAAAGACAACAAAATTCCAACATTTTGGACACCATCCATGCCTCCATCACCAGGGAAATATTAATGGAGGTAGAGATGGTTTCTTAAGCACTGGGATTTTGTCCACAAAGGCTTGTTGTTCATGAAGATTTTATTGATTATTCAAATGTAATTAAAAATATTGGACCCTGCTATTCTTGTTCTCTGTTACATGTGCCCTACACATATATCCAAACAGGCAACGTATGTTATGACAATGAAAAGGTTTGCACGAGTTGATATGTTGTTCTACTTTATTCATTTGTCAAGAATTGAGAAGCCAATTTTCTTCTTTATGGTGGAATAACACTGACAAAGGAGCAGGACAGAGTAGTCAGTTTAATCAACTATAAACTGGCACACCGCAAGCAAAATATACACCTCGTGGCACAGTGGATGCAAAATAGAAAGTTACTCAATTTAAGATGTCTGTCTGTTACAAATTCACACATGGGAAGCAGGGGAAAACTGCAAATAAAAAGCACATATGGAGATATAACCCAGTCCTTCCTTGTGCTACTGAATGTTAGTGTCTTATACATCCTTTGATTCATGAAATATGGTGTAGTGGAAGAATCATAAAATCAAAATTCCATGAAAAAAAATTTCCAGTTACATTATACATTCCCACACAGACTCTTTGCCATCTTCTCTTCCCTTCCCCTCTGTGATGTAGCTCATACTTGTAGTTATTTTGCATCCACTGCACGCAGCTTATAAAAGAAAAAAAGCAACTTACTTTTGGAATTCCCACTCCCTGTTATCCAGGGGGCACACTTGTCTTGTCTTGAGCCAGCGAGAGATACAATGGAAGTGGAATGCATGCTGAAACCAATGCAACCATGGAAATCAACACAAAAGACAAGACCTGTGTCAGAGCACATACCGCTTTTTGCAACATGAAGGATTTACATTTCAAGTGGCAAAACTTTGCAAGCAGAATCAATTACTAACTTGACAGAACACAGAAGTTAACAGCACCTCAGTGAGTCAATAAATTACATGCCCATTATGGAAATCAAAAGTACCTTACAATGTTCATAAAAGTTTGCCACTGGACCTTATTCTGAGCCAAATTAATCTAGTCCAAAACTTCACAGACCCTTTTAAGATTCAATTTCCCACATCCATGAACATGTATTCCAAATAGTCTCTTCATTTTAGGTTTTATAGTTAAAATTTTGTATGCATTTCTCATCTCTCTAATGCATGCTGCTGTCTCTACCCAACCAATTCCTTCTTGATGTGACCACCTTAATAATATTTGGAAAAGAGGTTATTCTCTTATCCAACCTAAAGACTGAATAATCACAAGCTACAACATGTTTATGACTGTTTATTTAATATGTCCACACCTACACAAACTATCTGGAATTCATCTCCTCTATCCGCAAACAGAGAGCATGCCATGGTAACTATCCCTGCTAGCCCCACTGAAAACCAATCACTGCATTGTTGTTCTGAAGTTCCTACATTTCTACTGACTGTTTTCCTTTATTTTGTAAATTCAGGTACAAGCACAACAACTGAAAGGTCCTATAATGTGAAAAGCTATCAAGATCTACCAAAGAATCTCATCCCATACTAACAGTTTACCCCCTTTCTGAAATACTTGGACTGCTTTAAATCAGCAACCCCTCACTGCACATTGGACAAGAATAAGTAATTTTTATATGTCTAGGTGAGATGAATTTTAATTTTTGTTAAGCTGTTCATAACAGCCTACAGTTTCCTTATATTTTGAAACAAACATAAAGTTCAATTGGTTAATGATCTTCACGGAAATAATGGGTTTATCCTAAGAATCACACAAAAAGCATTAATGCACTCCATCAGCAAAATGCAGAGTTACTGATTGTTAATGTAGGTCATATGTACAGATACCATTAGGTTTTAAAAGGTTAGTCTAAAAGGCAAAGACTTATGCATATGACATATTACAATGTGGTAACCATTTGCATTTTGACATGTTACAAATTCTTAGTCCAACAACAGTACACAAAACCTAAAATCAGAGACAGGCATGCGATCACAATACTGTAATATTCCATATTTGTTAGACTAAACTTATCCACAATCTGAAACCCACATACTGTCATCCTTAATGTATGCATACAGTTTGCCATATTTATAGTTAAATTCTTCTCAATATTATAAAATAAACTTCCAGATTATGCACATCTACATATGCTTCCAGTTACTATCCCAAATATGTATAAAATTACCATCACAAATATATTAGTGGTGTATTTAAACTTGTCAACAATCCCACTTACACACACATCCAAGCACACACATACACACACAATTGTGTTGATTTCACATGGAACCAGTTGATCTACAAAGCACTAATGTAACACACGAACAATTTAAAAAAAAAATTGGAAAAATATGTTACTACTGCACTATAAAATGAGGATACTTGCTCAAATAATATTCAAGTTGTGAACAATCACAATAAACATAAACCAAGAGGATTTTCAGCAACCAACTACTACTACTACTTACATTGCAGACCCCCCAGGCAACAGTACATTCCTCACTTGTGGCAGATGCTTGGTTTGCCTGGCACTCAATGCAAAGATCCATTATGTGATTACGGCAAATGGCACAATTGTCCACCACAATGTCTGTCAATACAATACACATATGCAATCATCCTCACAAGAAAGTATTACAAACTACAAAATGTGGTACATAAATCAGGAGGTAGCCATGGAAGAAATAGGATATTAGGCTATACAAGACAACACAAAATTTTAAACTGTGTAACTATCTACAGAATATGTTTTATTTTTATTTGATATTTATTTAGCAATGCTGCAAGTAGCTCTCACCATATATCATCGAATATACTGATAATTAATTAGAAAGGATGTGGAAACAACCTAATTCAAGCTAATATCCCAGTATTTGACGGAGGGACTGAGGAAAAATACGACAAACCTCGGTTAGGGATAACAGGTCTGACATTGATTTAAACAACAAAACCTTTCAGACACGAAGCCGGAGTGATAACCGCTCGGCCGTGACGTTCGGTAACAAACATCTAACCTGTACGCATTTATTTCTGTGAAAACCAAATTAAAAAATTACCACCTAATACGCACTGGTTTAGCAAAAACTTACCCCACGCCCACAAGGCAACAGCATTCCACTGTAAAGAAAGAAACAACCATGTGAATTTTCAAAATTAATCATAAATGTAAATACCTACTGTACAAGTGGCATCGGTAAAAAAAGAGCATTAAATACAAAAGTAACTGAAATAAATCAATAATTACCTTCTTCACTTCAAACCGTTTCTTTTCCCCCTTTCCATTACTTGATGTGGGTAATTCAATTTCTTCGTCATCTATATCCATTGCTGACGCCATTTTAATAATTGTACGCAGCGAACACAACCGACCAATGGGAAACACTGCTGATCCCCGTTGCCACAGGGAATACCAACAGCTGCTGAGTACGAGTACCAAAAATGTTGTCACAAGAGAAGTAACTTTCCTCCTCGCTGTTCAAACTGTAATTTTAAACCATCCTTAACAATCTTGAGCACTGGCAATAAACAATTTAATCAAAAATAAAATAAAATGGAGGTCTGTATCACAAATTTCTAATAGCACAAAAGTATCTCGTCCACCAAGCACTACTTTTACAAGCTATTCATAGCTGTTCTTTCCGATTGTTGACGTCAATATATATATTACTAATACAACAATACCGACGAAAACTATGTCGTTAACAATTATTGTTTACTCCATAAAGGAATTGTAACCGGGCATCCAACTTTAGTTTAGTTTTCTTAATTAATTTTGTTACAGAATGAAGTGCATTTCAGTTTATTCGGACAATTATACAGCACACAGCTTATTAATAAATATAAAACGAATTCTTTGCAGCTCGCTCAAAATCTCTAACAAAGTTCATGGATCAAGAAATCTAAAGTGATAGAATTATCTTTCGTAACAGAGGCCCCATTTATTAACCATTTGATGTCGAAGCTCGTCTAGATATCATTGGAAAAATTCAGTCCGTACCTCACAGAAAACACTACACTTCACCATTACAAAGAACAACCGGTTAATGCATTTAAAGGACATTATTACTCTTTACCCTGAGAATCAAACGAATCCGACAAATGCATAATGAAAAGCTACTGACTGTTAAAGCAGGCAAGTGGTATATATACTTGCCACCAGGCTTTCAAGGGTTTAGACAGTTTCATCGAGAATTTCGGCTACTAACCATGTCTTGTTGCTTTAGAAATTCGAATCCCACACTGTTTAACGGAATTCTTTTATTATAAATGATGCCGTAAACAAACAGAAGTCAATGGAATAAAAAATTGAATTTGTGTTAGAAAGAAGATGAGCCTAATTCTCTTCCAAGAGTTCACAAATGTAAATGAACCCTGTAAATGTTATAAGCAATAATAATAATAATAAATAGGATGCCCTTATCTCACTCTTTCTTCCACCGTCAAAATAAAATGGAGAGAGTAAAGGACAGTGTCAAGAATTTCTTAGTAATTCACAGAAGATAAGTACTTTGGTTATTGTGAAAGACTTTTAGAAGCACAAAAGTATCTCTTCTGCAACACACTTCTCCTACAAGCGATTCACAGCTCAGTTCTTTCAACACTGACGAAAGCGGATTGTTGACGCGACAATGCCGAAGGAAACTATGACGTAACAATTAGTAAAGGAATGGAGTGCAATACGGTTTATTCAGTCTATTATACGGCATGCTCGGTCAATATTGTTGCAGGTGTGGTTTAGAAATTCCAATACTTCTTATTACATTGTTGTACACGCAGGTCTTCATATAAAATGCAGGCACCTGACTGTCTGCCCCGCAGAAAAAACGTTTTAGAAAATAGAAAGTGCTTATCTTATATAAGAATTATTAAGAAATCTGTGACGTGGACGTCGTGGTCTCTTACAATTGAACAAAGTTTGAGAAATCTGTGACGTGGACGTCGTGGTCTCTTACAATTGAACAAAGTTTGAGAGACATGGAAGGAGGTGAGCTGGCCTTTCTGAAGGCCCACCTCCCTGAAGTGTTCCAACAGGTCCAGAAGCAGATCCTGGACGCCATCGCGGCGGAAAAGCAAAGACAGCGGGCAGCAGTGGCAGCAGCATTAAATACAGCAGCTACGACCGTGGTCGGAGGGCCTACTCGAGCCAACACTGGCAAGAGGAAAGCCAAAGAGTTGGACTTGTCCAATTCGAGCGGTTCGTTGGAACCCGCATCCAGGCGCCCGACGCCCGGGCCACTGTCCGGAGCCCAGTCCCCTTCTCTGCCGGCACCGGCAAAAGTTCATCGGCCCGATGGCCCGTCGGTAGCAGCAACATCATCCACCGCTTCCATGAGCAGGACAGTGCAGCCCTCAGCCAAGGGACCCGGCTCCCAGCCGGGACCCTCTTCCTCGATGGAGGTGACTGGGGACCTGTCCGGGCCGCTCACTGGTGTGTCATCTGACGCCGCTTCTTCTTCCAACGCTCAAGTGGACAAAACGGCTCCGGGGGAGCGCCGTAACAAAACCCCGGTGTACGTCTCTGGGGTGAAGGACGTACGCAGCTTCCTGCATAGGATTCGCGCGGAGTTGGCCTGCGGGATCGTGGCGCAGATGAAGGGAGACCTTCTGGCTCTTGTGCCTGAGACCGCCGACGGGTTCCGGGCCACCGTCAGGGTCCTGCGGTCCCTCGATGAGGGCGAGGGTGTGAGTTTTCACACATTCTCCCTCCCTGAGGATCGGTGCGTGCGCCTGCTGATTAAAAACCTGGGCGTGCGCATGCC